AAAATCTCTGTACCACATCGTCGAGGGTAATACAGCTAGCTCATACAATTGTCGTGTTGCCTTGTGTGCTCTAAATATGTCGGCCTTTGTCAAAGAACCGGACAAGATCCATCCAAGTTTTGTCTATTGAGCTATCAAACTTCCTGGTAGACTAGTCCGTACACCGTTCATCAATAATTTCCCAAATACATCCGCTCCTAATACGATATCAATTCTTCCTGGTACGCCGAAGTTTGGATTTGCCAAGTGTATTCCTTGTAATCCGTCGCATATGGCTAGTGGAATTGTTTCTGTGGGTAACCAGTTGGTTAACTTCTTCAAAACATAAGCTTCTATTTTCAGTGGCTCTTCTGTAGGCGAATTGAGTTGCATGGCAAATCTAACCACTCCTCTTGTCTTGGAGGGTGGCGTATTTCCGATTCCCACGATTTCTGTTGACGATCGCTCACGCCGAAGCTGCAACAGGTGAGCTGCTCGTTCTGATATGATGGAAGCCTACGAACTGGTGGTACCTGTGCTAGACAGGCTACAGTTTACGGATGATTGTCAATCTTCTGCTTCACCCTTCAAGCTTGCCCGAAGATATTGCAAACGTTCTATGTCAGCGAGTCTGGCATTGTGATGAACCAGAGCAAGAAATAGATCTTTGAATCCGACCCAATGTTTTAGTTCACCATTAAACTGAGGTAACTTTATTTCTGGCAACTTTACCTTTGTTTGAGTTTGCCGTTGAGTCTGCATATCATCTCCACTATCATTGGATTCGTTTTCGTCGTCAACCTTTGAGGATGCCTCTGATTTTGCTACTGCTAGAGGATTAATAAAATCTTTTATCTGTGCCAACGAATTAGCTACAAGATCTTCCAATTCTTCACACAACCCACCCTGTATGTACCCATGTACAGCCGAAGAGGATGGTTCTGGATTGTCCATTATTTGTCGATGATTAGCTTGAAACAAAGACAAAAGGTTTTCCAAGTTCACCTTTTTCCCTTGTGCATAACGAACCGATGCCGTAGTTGCAATACTGCCTTCATATTTGTTCCACACCCGACGATACGAGTCGAAATACAAATTCTGTTGTTCAATGAATTGTTCAACGGTTTTGCTTTGCCGCGTGTTAGCCATTGTGCTGTACTGTAATCTCGATATTACTGCAAATTTCCACAAACCCGTGAAATGCCGATTATCCAGCTCGAAGGACCAATGTTGGGTCTCGTGGGAATGACATTACGAAAATCTTTAGTTTATCAATGAATTGCGATGGTTTATTTCAAAAAGTGTTATGACAAAATTGTACGACTTCTACTGTTTAGAACCATGCTTGAGGTCGACAGCACCTCTGGTGGACAAAACCAGGCGGCTTGTTTTTCCCCAGACGAGAAGCATCTAGGGAACGTAGTTTTATATAGTTGGAAGGAATGAGTGAGTTTGAACACGAGGCAGTTAATTCTTCCGTTGAGTGTAGATAGGTATAGAGGTGCGAAGGACGTGGTGGGGGTATGTCAAGCATATACTATAGTAAAATTTTAGTTCCAATCCCGGCGGGTAGATGGCGCCCCGAAAATCCCAAGCTATCTTGTGGCGCTGCCTATGAGTGGGGATTTGTACTAAAAGAGACTGTAGCGCGCACGCGCAAATTGTTTGCAAGAAACAAGCACCATTTGTTCCGAGTGACATTAATAACACAAAAAACATTCTAAATAGAATTAATGATCGAGAAATTGTAGGATTTATCACGTGTATCAAAGATCATATAATAGAAACGAATTTCAGTGTTATATCTCTTATTGCTTTCTATTGGGAATGTATATTTTCGGATTGTAGATCACATATGCAAGTGCACATAAATAAATATAAAATCATTTTCTTAAATAACTATGTGTTATTTGTTGTAGACCTTACCTTAATTTTTAAGGTACCCTTTAAGCTACCCATTTGTTTTTATTAATAATTTAGATATGAAGAACATACGAATGTATTTAAAGGAAAATCGTGCATATGGTTTATCTGTCAATTATGCGGTAGAGCAAATGACTTAACTACTGAAATACAAGTTCCGAAGAAAATATAAAAAGTACATGATGCTGGTCAATAGGCAAGGCATTGAGTTAGGAGGCTAGGGATCTGTGGTTCGAGACTCTTCGTCGGAAGTTTTTTTTTCTTCTTCTGGACGTTATGATTTTTTTTTTTTAAATACAAGGTATTAAAGAGGTTGAAGCGCTTCACGCCGGTCAAATCAGTGCTCAATATTTTTCATCGTTTTTACATAGTTTTATGAATTAATTGATTGCAGTGAAGGGTGATTTGTATTATAACATGTGCCCATAACCCATAAAAACATTCAGAGCGATGAATTTACAATAATATTATCTGACCAATATTACATAATGCATTAAATTTACAAAAACGATGACTAAAATTTAGCACTGATTTAACCGGCGTGAAGTGCTTCAACCTCTTCAAAAGTTGTACGGGCTGCACGCTGAAGGTAAAAAAAATCGAACCAAATATCAATTTTTTCTAATTTTATTTATTACTTTATTATAATAAAGGCATAAACAATGATAATCTACAGGCTTCCACATCACCTAACAGGTGCCGTAGTCGATACGTTCCCATTATTTAACGTAGCGGGACCCCAGTAGGCCTATACTACGATCGAAGATAATAA